TCAACCGAATACAGATGTTGCATCAAACCTGACTCGTTTACATCCTATTGGCGTCAAACTGCTTTTCAGTTATGCCGCACAGGTTTATACCTTCATCTCGCAATGCTCTGCCAAGAACGAATATTGAAGAATAATAAATTCTAATAACTTTTTTAAAAACATTCCATGATATTTACTCATTTGCAATAGTGCAGCACACTATTTGAGCTATCGCAATCCGTGTCCATGCATTCCATGTAATTCGGTTTCATGAGAATTCTAAAAATTTAGGGAAAATGAATGTGATAATTTAAACGACTATCATTTTAAAGTTTTTGATACATGTGCACAAACTGTTTCCGATGATATTTGGTATATGAATGCAATATAAATCAGCTGTGTTAACTGTAAATTTGGTACCTTTCAGGCAGTACTTACGTTTCTGTATATAACATTTCTGTCGGTGATGGGTGAACGGATAGCTACGGACTTGCGTATGACACTTTTCGAACGGCTTCTACATCAAGTGCGTTTACTGCTTTTTACTAGAGCATTGTTGTTCTCGTAATAGATGCACGAGCTTAGGCCAGAGGCATGGTTCGATTGTTTTAGTGATTGTGCAATGAATATGTCTCGTTCAAGGATATGAGTTTCTATGACTCGACGCTGACCGGTGAACTGAATGCTCGTCTAAGTGCAGACGTACAAGAATTTAAAAGCTCGCTGAAACTCACTCTTGCTCAAGGCCTTAAAACATTCACACAGGTATATATAATTCATCTACACATACGTCTGTTCGAATTTGTTAAATATGCGAACTTCAGAGGCATTTTTCGAATATTCATAGCATTTGTGAAGAGGTTGTTATCGAAAATCGTTTTGCAGGATTTTGGAAACTCTTGAGTCTGCGTCTGTATGATGAGTTTTCATTTTATAACTGAAAACATTCTGTAAGCTTCATTCTTGATGGGGGCGAGTGACTGAATAAAATGCTCACCAGCTTGCCTGGTAATGACAATGGCGGAATGCACTTTCAGACAGGTGGCTGTATGATATCGCTCTTTATGATATCTCCAAAGATGACCATGATCACAATGACTTCAATGCCACTCGTTATCGTAATCGGTACTGTGTTTGGATCACTCCTGCGAAAACTTTCACGTCGTTCACAAGCACAAAATGCAATCGCAGCCGCTGTAGCGGATGAAGCGTTTGCTAATATTCGAACAGTGCGTGCATTCGCGATGGAAAATCAAGAAATTGCGTTCGTTTTTGACATCTGATCGGCAGTGTTACGTTCCGTTTCACACGACTTGTTCAGAGAACATTCTTTTCATTCGCCGTGCATTTTGTTCGAGCTCATTTTTGAATGTAATGAAATGAAAGTGGTCGATTCGGAAGATTTAAAACAGCTCAAATGTTTGCTTGAAA